CCCCACCCCCACCCCCCGGCCTGGCCTCTTTTCCCCATTTTTAAAAGAAGGTTGTAAATGCAGAAGGCTTTTTAAGTTTGCTTCCTGGAAATTAACATGTATCTATCAGAGCACTGTCTTATCTAGGTAAGATATGCATGTATGTGGGCATCCAAAAAATAGAGGAATCTAGAGTCTGGCTTGTTGAGTGCTTGGGAGCTGAATGGCTATTCTCGCTGTCTGGTGCTTGTAAGTGAATGGGCCAAGCCAGGAAGGCTGTGGGATTTGTACAGAGGTAGCAGGGCTATCCCTCCCTGCCTCCTTCAGAGTCCTAAATCTGACTGGCCTGGGTACCAGAGGGCAGTGGCGTGTGCAAGGAAACTGTCTTGTCCACAGCGTTGGTACATGGACTTTGCCTCATACACAGGATGGAATTTTGCCTGAGCCAAATTCTTTGAGGGTCTGTGTAGCTTATTTATTGGGGTGGGAGTGTAGTGCCCTTTTCTCCTTCCCACAGCTTACCATGCTCAGGTCTCTGTTGAGAATCATCTAGGAGACAACCGATGAGTGTGCACTGGTCAGGTAACCCTTGCTGGGTTTGTTGCTGTCATTGTTTGTTTGTTTACAACTCCTGTTGAACAAGTATTCAGTGCTTTCCAAAGGTTCAGACATATGTTGAGGGTTCAGATAAAACTGGAAGCTCTTGCATGAGGACATTGTGACTTTTTATGTTAAAAATATTTAAGTGTGGGCTTATGGACAATGTATACAAACCCATGTATATACATATGGTAATTCACATAATAGCATATTATCTTTCTGGCTCTGGGAAAATAAATGCATCTTTAAGTTGAATAAAGCTTGTCTTATCATCTCTAAGGCTGATACCTTCTGAAAATTGGTGTTTGATGGTAACTTTGGAAGCCTGTATCGTTCCGAAGTACTCTCAGATTCTTTCCGTGATTTCGCTTGCACTGTAACTTGTCAACAAGGTGCAGCCCATCTCTCTCCGATGAATTTTAGTGCCGTTGAAAGCTTTAGCAGATTAATGGTATCAACAGAGACTGATTCCTCCATGTCTCAGCTGAGCATGAAGAAGCAGTCTGCCTTGCCATTCCTCTTTTGGCTGTGGGAAAGGGGATGAGGCGGAGGGAATGGACCCTGTTGAGGACAATCCTCTCTAATCATACTACCACACCGAGCTAAAATACTGAAGATTGCC